CCTGTTACGTATGTGGTTACCTGCAATCAGGGGGGCTTGCATGCCTCCTAAGGATATATAAGCCTCGGTTAGAAATATGTTCTCTCTCCTCCTCCTCCCTCTCTCTGCTCCGACCTGGCTGCTGGGATCATGGCTGTCCTGGAGGTGAGCATGCTACCATACAATGTGTCTGACGGCATTATTTTACTCTCTCTCCTGTATCTCCTATCTTCTATGACTTGATTATGATCTTTACATATTATAACCGTTCAATTGCACCTATGGACCCTGCGGTGGTCAGAGGCTGGTTTACCCTGACAATGATAGAATTTTGCAAGATCAACAACTTCTTCACAGCAAACATCTTTTTCAACACCACCAAAGGTGTCTGCACATGGGCTTCTCCAGAATGAACACACAGAAATAAAATTGACTGCGTCTGTGGGAAGAGACCACAGAGAAGCCCACTTTCAGTAGTTAAAACCAGGCCAGGCTGACTGTGGGACAGATCATCAATTGCTCATATGTAAGCTCAGGTTGAAGCTGAAGGAAATTCAAAGCCAAAGTATGGCCTTGAGTCCCTCCCAGCTGAATTTCTAGAACATCTCAAGAAGAGATTTGATGCCTGGGACACTAATGACAGAAGACCTGGTGAGCTGTGGGATGAGCTCAAGAACATCATCTATGAAGAAAACAAAGAGTCTTTTAAAAGAAAGAAAGGATCAAAGTGGATATCTGGAGAAACCCTGAAATGTGCTCTTAATTACAGAGTAGCTAAGGCAAATAGAAGAAATGATGAAAATAAAAAATAAATAAAATATTTTAAAAAAAAAGAAGAAGAAATGATGAAGACCAAAAACCTGACCAGAAAATGTCAAGAGGCAGCTCAAGAAGACAAAAGAAAAACTTTAAAACAAAATATACAATTTATTTCTATAATCAAAAAACCAAAAAGGAAGAGCACGCTCAACATATCTTATATTGAAAGAACTCAAGAAAAAATTCAAGCCTCACACTTTGAAATACTGAAAGATTCTTTGGACAAAATATTGAATGGTGCCTGAAGCATCAAAAGAAGATGTAATGAATACACAGAAGACTAGCTGACATTCAACTGTTTCAGGAAGCAGCACAGGAAGATGAACCAATCGTGCTGAAGAAAGAAGTCCAAACTGCATTGAAGGCATTAGGCAAAAACAAGGCTCCAAGAATTGGTGGAACACCAATGGAAATGTTTCAACAAGCTGGTGAAGACCTGAAAGCACTCACTCATCTGTGGCAAGAAATTTGGAAGACAGCTACGTGGCCAATGGACTAGAAGAGATCCATATCTGTACCCATTCCAAAGAAAGGTGACCTGTAGTATGAAATTTAAAAATGGCGCTGGGGGAGTGGGGTGCCAGCCCCACCCGCTGCTTGAACTCACTGGTTCAGTAATACTACTTCTGGGTTCAGTAATGCACAATTGTACGGTTGAGATATATAAGCATTATATTAAAGTCATCGAGAGCATGAGAGATATTACAATAATACAGTCAGACACATTACATGATAGCATTGCTCGCCTCAGCCCAGCTTGGTGGTCCACGTGGAGAGAGGGGGAAGGGAAGGAGGGGAAGGGAACAAGGGAGAGGGGAGTGACCAGGGAGTGAGCAGCAAGGAGCTCAGAGTCAGAGAGAGAGATCTATATTGCTGACTCACACCTATATACCTTTTGGGGGCAAGCCAGCCCACTAATTACAGGTAGAGACATACGTCACAGGAAGGGGCTGCACTATAGGTTACACAGTAATGAGGGGGTGGTCTAGGGGCATACATGCAGTAGGAAGAGGGACAGCCAGTTTGGCCTGTCCCTGGCCCAACAGATAGAGACCATTATTAGTAGGATGAAAACTCCACCTACAGGAGCCTGTCCATTGTCCCCAGAGGCAGGGAGCAGGCCCACCCCTGTGGAGGGATGAGACAGCAGTCTGGCAACTGATTGCCCTCAGTGGGGGAATGCCTGCGCATCTGACCTCCCCCCACAGTGACCCAACAGAATGCTCAAATTATAGAACAATATCATTGATACCACGTGCAAGTAAAATTTTGCTGAATATTATCCAATAACGTATGCAAAAGTACATTGACAAGCTGGATTCAGAAGAGAATGTGGAACAAGGGATATCATTGCTGATGTCAGATGAAACTTGGCTGAAAGCAGAGAAGATCAGAAAGATGTTTACTTGTGTTTTATTGACTATGCAAAGGATTTGAGTGTGTGGGTCATAACAAACTATGGATCACCTTAAGAAGAATGGGAATTCTAGAACACCGCAGTGTGCTCATGTGGAACCTGTACACAGACCAAGAGGCAGTTGTGTGAACAGATGAAGGAAATGCTGCATGGCTTAAATTCAGCAAAGGTGTGAGTCAGGGTTGTGGGATCAGGACTGGAGGAAGGTTTCTTAGCAGCCCTCAACATATAGATGACATACCTTGCTTGCTGAAATCGGGGACTTGAAGCACTTGCTGATGAAGATCAAGGGTTGGGCCTTCAGCATAGGTTACAACTCAATGTAAAAACAACAACAACAACAAACCAACAACTAAAATCCTCACAGCTGGACTAATAGGAAACACAATGATAAATGGAGAAAAGGTTGACGATATCAAGGCTTAGTCTTGCCTGGATTCACAACCAATGCTTGTGATGGTTTGGGATGGTGTCAAGTAGACACTCCTGGGTAAGGGTAGGGGCAGAGCTCACCTTATCAGCTGAGTACAGCCTTTTGACACCTCCTTGGTGTGATAACCCTATTTGTATAGCGAGAGACACAAACAGAGTCAAGTCCTCTTTGTTCTTCCACTTCTGCTGGAGCTGGATCTTACATCCGGTCCCTTAGTCTCCTGCTGCTGTCCCAGGGGCCGTCAGCAGATGCCTGCTGATGAATCCATCAGGCTGACTTGAGACATCTGCATCCACCAGCCTGGGTCCCCTACTGTCTCTGCTTCAGCATCCTGTGTTGTACTCATCAGCTCCTGTGACTCAGGAGAAGCCGGGCTTGACCTGGACTGAACTTCCCTATTTCTACAACTGTGTGAGCCATTTCTTGAGAGAAATCTTTTTCCGAGGATCTGATGCCAGGGGCTTAAGTGAAGAGCAAATGTTTTGAGAATGATGAGGGCAATGAATGTACAAATGTGCTTTACACAATTGATGTGTGTATGGATTGTGATGAGTT